ACTACAGTCCCACCAGACAGGAGCGGCGCCCCATCGGACTGTAAAAAAAGGACTACAGTCCCACCGGACGGGAGCGGCGCCCCACCAGACTGTGGAAGAGGGCTACAGTCCCACCAGACAGGAGCGGCGCCCCACCGTTTAACCGAACAGAGCTACAGTTCCACCAGATAAGGATGGTGTCCTGCAGTCTTATGATGGGGATTGTTAGATTTTGGGGCGCCCGGACTGCAGACCATCGCCGAACATAACAATCTACGATATCAGATTGGATTTCACAAAACAAGTCAATCGCGGTCCCACCCAAGAACTGCATGATGTACCGAAGTTTAGCCAGCTGTGATGTATCACGGCCCCACCACACAGCTCTGTGATGTCGGCCCACTGTTTCACGAGACAGCTGTGATGTGGCGCTGTGAGGCAACAGATATCACCAGACGGATTTGACATGGTCCATGCGCCCGCGATGATCGAGATTCAAGCCAGAGGAGGGAAAATGGATCACCGAGCCCAGCAGGGCCTGAAGAACGCTCAACAGTTGATGAGCCGGGCTGCGCTGGTTGTCGGCTTTCGTAAAACAGAGTGAAGTTTAAGACAAAAAGTATGATAAAAATTGAGCATTTAGCTGCACTGTTAGGTTGATATTAAGAGATCACACGTCAGGTCAATTGTGCAACAAAGCCACGTAAATAGGAGCATATCAAAGTCGAGTTGTTATCTAGCAAATAGAGCCTGTATTTCACAGTCGCACGCCGTTTCCATTCATCCTCTTCCGTAAGACCCCAGCGTTAAGGTAAATAGCACCGGCGCGGAGCCGTCCAGTACAGCGAGCCCAGGGAGCGCGCGCACACCCCACGAGCCCGGTGGCGCCCCGCGATACAGCGCCGGTGGCGCCCCGCGATACAGCGCCGGCGGCGCCCCGCGATACAGCGCCGGCCGGCGCGCTCCCCAGCCCCTGCCAGCAGATGTGTCGAGCGCCGGTCCGGCCTCAGGTACTTCTATCACAGTGCGCGCTGGCAGCCCCCTCCCTGCACCCACCCACACCCACACATACACACCGGGCGGCCTGCCCCCCCCCCCCCCCCCGCCACCGGTGGGCGGCGCGCCCCTCCCGGTGGGTGCCTTAACCGAGGGCCATCGCCAGGCAGCGCGCGCGCACACACACACAGGCGCGTACACTAACAAACGGACCGGCAGCGCCACTCGGCCCTCCTAACAGAGCGCAGCACATCCGTACACGGCAGATCTAGCAGAGCCAGCGGCCAGAGGGCAGCCGGCAGCGCCTCTCCTCACAGTCCAATGTATCACTGAGCTACACCGGCCGGAATACAGACCCGGCCCGAGCGTGTAAAAACCACCCACAGCTGACCAGCGCATAAACAGACCACGCACTGGCGCCGGTGGACACACACGACCGGCCTCCAAAACAAAAACTCTCGCGGAACGGCAGCAGTTACACACAGTCACAACTGTTAAGGCTGCAACACAGCTTTCAAGCGTGCGACTCGCGTCTCAGCGCCTCCCCTCAGAATGCATGGCATATTTTCTGCTCTCACGCAGCTAAATGCGCTGCGTTTTGGAACCTTAATATATGCCATGTATTCTAATGGGAGGCGCTGAGACGCGATTTGTAGGCTTGGAAGCTGTGTTCCAGGTTTAAAACCCTATTCCTGGCGGGGGGGGGCCTCAGGAGCCCCCCCTCCCCCTGAGGTTTTTTGGTTATTTCTCCCAAACGCGTTGAGCTAGGAAGCTCAAATTTTCTGACTTTTCCTAAAAGGCTTCTACGCAACATGTCTGAAAATTTTGAGTTGATCTGACCTCAGGTCAGGTCACCAGAGGCGGTTTGGTGACCCTACCTCACAAAAGTTTGCAATCACGCCAGAGCTAGAGTTTTTGACCGATCAATTTCTTCTCATCAGGCTTTAGTTAGGGTACCAGTATGTGCAATTTGTATATCTCGGAATTTTGATATCGGTGACCTAAGGTCAGGTCAGTTTCGCGACCTCCCCATTATAAGTCAATGGGGGAAAAATCAACTCCCTGTTTTTACCACTAAAACGGGTCGGAATGGCCCCATATACCATACATGACTTCATATACGATCAACCTTCACTACCTTGAGGTCTGTTTTGCTGTTGGGCAGCTGTGAGGTCATGTGACGTCATCAAAGGTCACCAAAGGTTTTTGGCCAATAACTCCGTACAGGAACAAGATACAGACGCGTGGATGGTCTCATTGTGTTCAGCTCGTCAAGACGCATCGAATGATATACATGATGACCTCGAGGTCACGTGACCTGAGGTCAACCTTTGACCTTGACCTTGCGAGGTCAACATATATATCATTCGATGCGGATTGACGAGAGGATCACGATGATGCCCTTAATTTGTTCCTATCTTGACTAATTCGAAAGTTATTCGAGAAAAACTCTCCATATCTAGCGCCGCCATTTTGACTTTTTCGACCCCTGTGACGTCATCTTTGAACTGACCTGAAAATGACCTTAGTAAAAATTGTAGATCTTGACCGTGCGTATCCGATGCCGTTTACCGTTTGTCGCTATCTTGCTTCGTTCTCGAGATCTCAGGGGGGGGGCCGAATCGCCCCCCCCCCGCCAGTTTCTTGTCCCGGCGGAGCCCGCCAGGAATAGGGTTAACGCCCAACACGAACAATGACTCACAGAGTGCGATAGTAAACCTGGCTTCAATAGTCGAGATATAATTACAGAAACTCGGTAAAGTCCACATTCCATAGAAAAAAGACAAGCAAAATGGCATTGTCTCAATCACGTCTGGACATAATTAATAAGATTTCCCTCAGACTCAATACTCAGCTGACACGGGACATGGATGATATAACACTGGATTGGTGTCTCGTGGAAATTAACATTGGGATCCGCGACATTGGGATCAGGCCTGCCATCTAGCGAGAGAATTATCGTAAGTTAGGAGCAAGCCGAGTGAACGCCATCTCTCAGCATTATGACACACGTGGGTGTGGTGTGTTAGTTGGCTTGAAGTGCATATTCCCACGAGTTGGAGGTAATCTTACTGGAACTGAGACTACAAAAAATGTCTTAAATGCTAGAAAGCCAAAAACGTCAAGCAGCCTTTAGGTAATCACGATAATAAAATGCGTAAGACGGTGTGTATTGAAACGCCCAGTCCCATCGGCTTGTACCACCTTTTATATGGTCATTTTGATTTGCACACGATGGTACAGCAGTTTGACAATATGTCATACATATTTGGTAGGCTTATTCCTTCTTCTCCGAATTTCGCCCAATTTTCTTCATCTTAGTGCTACGGCACGTGCCACGTGCCAACTTAGGGGTGTCGAAATTGTTCCACATAAAGTAACTAAATAAAGTAACGCAATGGCTGGGCCCTTTACAGTATAACTTCGTCAATAGTCACCCATGACCCAGTGGCCAATGCATTTCCATGTGTCACTATGTGGGTGCCCCTGCACGTGCGCACGTGCGGGGTGCCGCTTCCATATCTCAAGAACGGCTGGGCGGATAGCACTCAAACTTGGTACACAAATGTCACATCGTTGCTCGCACTGCATTGGTCAGTGCTTACATTGGCGCAGAGTCGTTAGGAAAACGATGAAATGAGATGCGTGGTGTTTATGCCTTTCTGTTCCAGCAGCTGATTGATCCTCAACATGAGATCCTTGTTTGTGAAGGCTTCGTCTCCCTTTTCCACTCCTTGTTTTAAATAACATTAACAATGTACGAAGAAGATCACACACCAAAGTTGTTTTAGGCGGCTATCTTGGGCCAGGGCTGCGGTGTTGTAGTCAGAGCCAGCGGTTCTGTTCCGACTCGGAGGCGGTTGATTTTTAAAAGCTGTAATCGGCGTATGAGTCGAACGTCACCGAAAAGTCATCGACTCCACAGACTTGCCAGGGCTGCAGAGTCGGAGTCAGAGTCGGAGTCTGTGTGAATCGACAGTTCTGCCCGGAGGAGTTGGAGTCGATATTTGGATACCGGAACCGGAGTTGGAGCCAAAGTCACTGAAATTTCATCGACTACGCAGCACTGGTTGGGTCCTTTTCATAGAGCGTCTTGAATGGCATATTGAGCGGCAATGACGTGAGCAATTCCGTTTAACTTTTTCATTAGACTTATAGATAGTACTTACTTTCGTTTTGTTCTTTGATCGGACAATTTGTTTGATTTAGGCCAAGTTACGACTCATGTAAAAAAAATAGCGAAAACGACACGTGCTGGCGAAGTCTCCAATAACTCCCTGTTTCACGATTTAATGAAGAAATAACATGGAACAGCTTATCTTATTACTGACCCTGCACATAAATCTATTAATTTCTTCGCTTTTACTGATATATAAAGACATAACCTTTTGAAAAATTGCCCAACAAGCCTGCTACTACACCACACTCCCGTGTGTCACAATGCTAATCAGCGGCGTTTACTCGGCTTGCTCCTAACTTACAATAATTCTCCCGCTAGATGGCAGGCCTGAGCTCAATGTCGCCAAAAACTGCGAAGACACCAATCCATTATTATCTCATCCATGCACGGGATCACTGCTCGCCATGCCCGTCGTTGGTACAGCTGGCCCGGCCCGCCGCCGACAGGGCAGTGTGTGCAGCGGCGGGGGCTGCGGACGGCCGGTCAGCCGGTCCGGCACCACCGGTCAGCCGGTCCGGGACGGGACGGGACGGGTCCACACCACGACGGCACCGCTCAGCTCGCGCCGCAGTCCCTCCGGTCCCCACTGCCCACCCTGTCCCTTCTCCGGCCCATGAGGTGCCGCTGCCGCCGGCCACCAGCCGGCCGGCCGTCCACAGTCAGAGTCAGGGCTGCGGAGTCGGAGTCGGAGTCGGAGCCGGAGTCGGTCGGAGTCGACAGTTGTGACCGGAGTCGGAGTCGGAGTCGGAGTCGATTTTAGAAACCCGAGCCCGAGTCGGAGTCGGAGTCATCGAAAATCTGTCGACTCCGCAGCCCTGCTAGGTCAGCGGAGTCGGAGTCGGGAGTTGGAGTCGGTCGGAGTCGACAATTCTGCCCGGAGTTGGAGTCGGAGTCGGAGCTGGTTTTTGAAAGCCGGAGTCGGAGTCGGAGTCGGAGTCGCCGAAAATCCATCGACTCCGCAGCCCTGGTTAGAGTCCACCCCGCCGGCCGGCCGTCCACAGTCAGAGTCCACCCCGCCGGCCGGCCGTCCACAGCACGGGTCCACCCCGCCGGCCGGCCGTCCACAGAACGGGTCCACCCCGCCGTCCGTCCGTCCACAGTCCGAGTCCAGTCTCCGTCAGCCAGCCGCCCAGCACGCCAGTCCTTGACAAAGGCCCAGCGGCCGCGGCCGGCGGTTCGTGTCGACGGCCGGCGCGGCTACCGCGGCTCAACTGAGCGAGCCCGGCGGGGGCAGACCCTCCCGGAGCGGACCCGGCGGCAGACCCTCCCGGAGCGGACCCGGCGGCACTGGCAGACCCTCCCGGGGCGGACCCGGCACTGACAGACCCCCCCCCCCCCCCCCGCGCCGCCACTCAGCTCTTGAAGGCGAGGAAGTTCTTCAGCGCCGGGGGCAGGGGCAGCTGGGAGACGCGGCTGCCGACCAAATGCTGCAGGATCACCTCACGGCACGAACTCATCAGCGACTGAACTGCGGGCAGAGACCGGGGACGGTCAGTAGGACACCGGGGCCGGTCAGTTGGGACAGAGACCGGAGCCGGTCAGACGGGACAGAGACAGGGGCGGTCAATAGGGTCAGAGACAGGGGCGGTCAGTTGGGACACAGACCGGGGCCGGTCAGACGGGACAGAGACTGGGGGCGGGTCAGTTGGGACAGAGACCGGGCCGGACAATAGGACAGAGACCAGAGCCGGTCAGACGGGACAGAGACCGGAGCCGGTCAATAGGACAGAGACCGGGACAGTCAGACGGGACAGCGGCCGGGGCCGGTCAGGATTCCGGGGCCGGTCAGTAGGACTGAGGACACCGGGGCCGGTCACTCCCGAGCCGAGGCCGGACATAGCAGCTGCGGCTGGCTCAGACGGAACAGTGAGGGGCGCCGGTGGGAAGGCGCGCGTCCCAGCTGTGAGGGGCAGCGGCCGGAGCGGGGTCGGACGTCTGACTGCGGGACAGCGACGGGGGGGGGGGGGAGGGGGACGGAGCCGCAGTGCAGCCAACGACACCGAGCAGCGCAGCAGTGAACGTACATTCATCTCCACCCCCCCCCCCCCCCCCTGACTGACTTCAACGCACCACCCTTCAAACGATCTTTCTAGCTGCACCCGGACCCACCCCGTACAGCGGCCTGTACCACCCGGACCCACCCCGTACAGCGGCCTGTACCACCCGGACCCACCCCGTACAGCGGCCTGTACCACCCGGACCCATCCCGTACAGCGACCTGTACAACCCGGACCCATCCCGTACAGCGACCTGTACAACCCGGACCCATCCCGTACAGCGACCTGTACAACCCGGACCCATCCCGTACAGCGACCTGTACAACCCGGACCCATCCCGTACAGCGACCTGTACAACCCGGACCCACCCCGTACAGCGGCCTGTACCACCCGGATCCACCCACCTCCGTACAGCTGCACGATCCGGATCAGTTTGGTGGATCCGTAGACGTCGACCACGGCGTGAAGCGGCGCGCCGCGCAGTGGGATCTCCTTCTCGACGGCGCCCTGGTCGTCGCCGTTGACGATCAGGTGCATGTCTGCCACCTCGCCGCCGGCTCGCGGCACGTACATGACGCCCAGCCGCGAGCCGACGTCGGTGGGCAGCACGCCGCTGCCGGCCGGCGCGCGCAGCGCCGCACGCGGCACCGTCTTAAACGCGGTGCGCAGGTAGGCCGGGTGGCCGGCCGGTGCGGGCGGCCGGCCGGTGCGCGGTGCGCCTACCGCGGCGGCCGGCGCCGGCACGTCGGGCGGCTTGTTGACGGCCACCAGCCAGGAGCCGCGCAGGCTGACCAGGTCGGGCAGGCCGTAGGAGGGCAGCGGGAAGCCGGTGTCGGGGTTCAGCTGGGTCAGGCCCAGCCGCAGGTGCCCGCTCCAGCCGGGCTCCGTCTGTCGGCACACACACACACACCGCCGACACTGAACTCAGTCCCAGCAGACTGTCTCCAGGTAAAAATAAAACAGCTATTGGCGTAGTTCAGAGCAGAGAGCCTTCAAATACGCCAAACGCGTCACCTGCTTTGTGGTGGAGGGTAATGAAGAAGGTCAAAGGGACATTGTTAACGAGACATTTGAATTGTAGGAAACAGAACATCGAACAGCATTCATATGTACAATAAATGATGGGACGCTAACGACTTCATTTAAGCTTTTGACCATTTGGATTCGGCAAGCCTGTAAATGACTTACAAATGATCTGTCTCTGCGCTGCGGGTGCGGAGCTGACCACCACTTTGTCGGCTATTGGTCTACCTTTTCGATTTCGATGCAGAAGATCTCGCCGGGCACGAGGGCGCGCTGGCTGAAAGTGATGGCGTTGGCGAAGCTGGCCTTGCGGTAGGCGGCCGTATTGTCGTCGCAGAGTATGATGTTGGAGCCGTGGTGTCGGTGGAAGTGGTGTGTGCGCGGCAGCAGCGGCGCGCCGTGCCGGCCGGCCAGCGCCGCCAGCGCGTCCGGCCCGGCCGGCAGCCCTGCGGCACGCGCGACATCAGCAACCACACACTGAGCACTGCGACACGACACATCAACAACCACACGCTCAGCACGCGGCACGACACATCAGCAACCACACGCTGTGAGGGGGGGGGGGGGGGCAAAAAATATCAAAACTCCAAAAATTCAAATCAATTTTTGCTGCTGCAAAGGGGTATTTGGGTCATTTGCCCAAGTTTCCTCTCCCTCAGATGCACCAGTGTAGGAAACTATTGAACATCCAAATAAAGGCACTCCATATTCATACAGTCTATACTTTTGTTATACTTTCTATACTTTACTACTTTTCATTATACTTTTAGATACTTTCGTTTGAATAAATTGCAAATATTTGGCAACTGAAGTGTTAAAGGGACTATCCCACCTTCTAAAATGTTGTTAAAACCAGTTAAATTGTGTCCGACTTTATAGATTGGATGACCAGGAACACGGTGCTGGCATTTATTTTTCATTAAACATCTTAGGCTTCCCATATTCCAAACAGAAACTTTCAAATATGTGACGTCACAGCCCAAAATTACCTCCTTTCCCAGGCCACATTACTGTCATAAAGCTGATTCTTTTTACTCTGTAGGCACCACAACAAAGTTCAGACCAAGTTTTAAGCGATTTTTCAACGAACAAACCCATTTAAATCAGAATAACTAAACAAGGTGACGTCACACTAACGGTCGCTCCATGTTGAAGATAGGGCCTTGTACAAGGCCCATTTTCAAATGAAGGGAACAAATTTCTTCAACACCAAGAGGCCGCGGGGGTTGCAACCTAGATAGATAGTGGTTTCTGAACCTCGCCGCAAACTTGGCTATCTCAACTCAAACCCCATGTTAAAGGTGGGATAGTCCCTTTAAGCAAGCCTAAATGATTGGTATAAAGGTAAGAGACACCCTGCCTTTGTTAAACAATGGTAGAAACATAACTTCCCCTAGATCCTCACCATTGGATCCTTCCTGAGTCAAGGGAAGCTCCTGTGATGAAGCTCCAGCCTCTCCCAGCATTGTTAGGCTCTCAGTCTCAGTCCAAATCCAAACTTGCACTCATCAGACAAAAATCAGCTTGAGCTGAAAGAGAAATACTGTGTCATGAGCAATGGGCCCATGGCCAATGTCACTACATTACACTCCATTCTCCATTCCTTTTCCATTTACAAGGCTGGTTTGTGAATGACATATTTGCCCAGATCAACTACTTTATTTAGATAACTGTTGCTGGTGCCCTCCACAAGTCACAACCAAGGCTTACCATTTAGGTTATCATCTGCTCTGAATTTGGCATTTTTCCATAAATAGCAACTTAATTAGGACCTCTTATTGGTAAACTGAGGTTGACAGTGGTAACTATACAGGTAGCCTAAGTGGCAGATTATGGGTGATGTCAGCTTCACCATTACAAGCTAGACAAGCCAAAACAATATAGGCAATAATAAGATAAGGTTGAGGTATAAAGACAATGCACCACAGGACCAGGACTGTGCTTCACTGCCTAATCACTGATGCTACAACATGCTACAGATATCACAGTATTGGGTTTCTATGGGAGCACCAACAAACTTGGACACTCAACATTATAGTGTCTGAGTTTGCTGATGCTTCTATGACATGATGAAAACCCAACGCAGCGATATGTGCAGCACACTGCAATAGATGTAGCATTATGCTATGAAACAGGGCCCTGGAGAATGGATAATATACCAAAATAGAGTGAAAATTGGGGCCTTTCCAGTTTCCCTCAGGCCTCAAGAAAAATTGTTGGATGTTTGAGCCTCGCAGCTACGCGCCCTAACCCAACAACAACTCAAGAAAAATACGGCCTTGAGAAAAATTAATTGGTCAGTCTCCATTTCTCCATGCCAAAACAAATGAAAATCAGCAAAAAAAAAAACAGGAGAATCCTGCCACACAACTGTGGCAATCAAGGCCTATGGCAATGGAGTATAACTTTCAATAAATGACAAATTATACCACATATGCTATTCTCTCAGTGCCATACACGAGCAAAACCAAAGCAAAACATTGACAGTTGACATTGACATACACAGACAATCCGATACAGATAAAGACGGTTTTTATATAGCCTTGTTGTTGTTATAGACCGATCCACCGTTCCAATGCGACCGATACAGGTTGAGGTATTCCGTATTTTTTTAATTTTATCGCCTCTTGCGCAAACACAATACATCAAATGCGCCGGGTATGTGACAAATGCGGCAGGATTACAACAACAAAAACGCAGCACCGCATAAGCAAAGGACAACACTACTCTGCCGCCACCCTTGCAACCATTCCGTAACTCAGGAACTGCCGGGTTGATCGGGACGAACTAAGCACCATTCGAATCAGGGGATACAATTTTACCCTACGTTTTGAATATGGTGACCTCAAGTGACCTCCGTTTCTTCGTAAGGTCAACTTGACGTTTTCGCCTGTTGCAGCCCTTCCACAACACGGGAACTGCCTAGGCTGATGGATACGAAAACACCACCAGTCGATTTGTCGTATGCAATTTCATGAGCCGTTTTGAATATGGTGACCTCATGTGACCTTGGTGACCTCAATGGTCAACTTGACGTTTTCACCTATTGCAATGATTCTTTTACTCAGGAGCTGCTGGGCCGATCGGGACGAAAACACCACCAGTCGATCCCCCTTATGCGATTCACCAGCCATTACGGATATGGTGACCTCAGGTGACCTCGGTGACTTGCCCAGTACCTACTTGCCGAGTTATGTTGCAGAATGGCTGCAATAGGCGAAATCAGTCAAGTTGACCCTTCGATGGACCGAGTGAGGACCGCGAGGTTACCTTATTCGAAACGGGTTGAGGTAGGTAAATCGCACACATCAAAGCGACTGCTCACTATGTATTGGCGGTTCCTGAGAAGGCCCGCGTTTTTATGTACTTTTCCGGCTGCACGGCTCCTTTTAACACCCGCCCGTATTCACTGGCGGATCCAGGGGGGGGGGCATTAGGGGCATATGCCCCCCCCCCCCCGACAGGAGCCTGGGGAGGGCATTCAGTACAAGTATGCCCCCCCCCCCCGTTCAGACTTACACTTCTTACGCCTATAACGAGGAACTAAATAAAAATGGATTAGAAATCCTTCCTAGTAACTACTTTTGTGATCAGAGTCGTTTTAGTAGCCTCAATTTAGTTGTCATTGCTTTATTTTGTAAGTATGTTGCTTCTTAGTTCTTACCACAGGGGAGTCATGCCGCTTCAACACTTTTGACCGTATTGTCTAACGATGGCACTCATATTGCGCAAACCAGGAATCGGCCGCCGCCTATGCTTGAGAATAGGGACGGTTAGAATATGATTTACCTTTATCAGTATGGCCGCAGCCAGTGCAGCGTAACCGGGGGGGGGGGGGGCACAAGGGGCGCGTGCCGCCTCATTAGATGCATGGTGCCCTATGGGCCCGAGAGGCCCTCCAGTGCCAATTGGCCGCTCAGGGTCCAAGCGTGCCTTACTTCGACTGAGATAAGACCCGCAGGACTCGTGAGAGCACCTCACGGAGTCACGGGCTCCTGAGTCGCCACACATCACACATCTCCATAAGGGCCCCACTCCGACTTCTGAGGGCCCTGTGCTGGCCTCTGAGTGCCCTTGCTGACCTATTAAGCGTCAGCTCTAATTAGGGTCGCTGGCCCATACCCGCATGGAACGGCTCCACACCAGTGCCTCTGAGGGCCCATAACGGCGCCTGTGAGGGTCTCACACTGGCGCCTTTGAGGGCCCAACACCGCCAATCTGAGGGACTAATACCAATATTTCTTAAGGCCCTACATCGGCGGCCGCTCTGAGGGCCCCACACTGGCGCCTCTGAAGGTCTTACACAGGTGCATCTGACGGCTACCTACCTGCAACTGTAGCACGCTACATCTTGAACATCTAACGTAGTATCTTTTCGGCACGGCCGGCCCGGTGACGCGCAGCTGAGCAGAGCGCTGCCGCACGCTTCCCTCCCTTGTCATTATTCCCTCCCTCCTCCCACCCGTCCCCAGGTCCACCCTCCCCAATCATTTCTCACTGTACACACAGAATGGGCCGCCATTAAACTCCAATTAAGACAAGCACCTCTGAAGACAGTCACATCAGGATGAGTCATTGGTAGTCATTACAAAGCAGCTGAAGCTACAAGCAAACGTCGGCACACTGTGAGACCACGCGCAGGCTTAAGGCACGTAGCACATTGGGTCTCACGTAGCCATGGTAGCACAACAGTGCGTCTCACTGCAACGGAATCTGCTAAACTTAGCAAAAAGCCTCCGAAACAGACGTAGTTCAGGACGTCTCCACTGCGGACAGAAAGCGCTGTTGTCCGAAACAAACGTAGTTCAGGACATCCCCACCGCGGACAGAAGGCGCTGTTCTACAGACCCTCCAAACCAAGATGACGTCAGTGGGCGGAGCAAGAGTGACGTCACAAGGGGCGTTGCCGGCAGACGAAACGGAAGGAAACAAAAGTTTGAATAAAATGAAACTGAAGAATCAAAATTAAAACTCGAAAAGCACCAACCTTTCGGGGATTGGTTTATGCCAGCAACTACTAAGATGATAAAGCACTCAACACGAAGACGATTCGACGGCCAAAAATTGCAGGCACAGAGGAGCAAGGTGACTAAACAGGACAGAGGGCGCCATCTTACGGCCCCACCCACCAGAAGAAGGCAGAGGAAGATGACGTCGCAAGGGCGTGGCAGTCACCCCTCCCCCCCCCCCCCAACTATAAAAGGGTGCGCCACCCAACCAGAGGGGGAATCAGAGTCGAGCAGCCGAGAGTCACAGTCCACAGCTGGAGCCGGAGACGCCATCTGGGAGCCACCGTCAGTCCGGGGTCACCCGCGAGAAGCCTCTTCAGTTCGAGTGATCAGAGCCGGAGGACAACCGCCGACGCTTGTGACCACACTGAGAAACTCCAGAATGTGAGTGTTGTTGAAAAGTCTGCTCAATCCCAATCCTTGACCCCCCCCTCTGCCCAGCCTGCCGTGCCGTGACGACTGCCAAACATTTTCGGTTGCCATAAAATGCACTCTCAATTGGAATTGGAAAACTTAAATTACTTTGAACTTATTGGTCCAGACACCCTAGTAGCATATTATAGGATCTGAATTGTGAGGTCATGTCAGAGCCGCCAGTAAATACGTTATTGTCAGTTGGAGTTCACGATTAGGCCGGGAGCGAGATGCTAAAATTTGAATAAGCAGCTCATTGTCACGAACGTTGAGATTGATGACATGATGCATGTCAGCATTGAATAATGAATATGTCTTTGTGTTTGGCCAAGCTGGTTCCTTGATTTATTATCGGGGTAGTCAGGTGCGATTAAGATTTGAGGTTGGGAAGTTTGTGAAATTAAGGGTGTAGATTCATGCTGTACTCACTAAAAGTTGCATTGCGAAATCATTGGTAATATTGCTATAGGAATTAATTGCGAAGTCGAAATCAATTATTCAACAGGTAAATACGGCTGAAAGGGAATGTAATGTTTAAGGTGGCGACTGATTCATGCAATCGATCTATGAATATGGCTATGAGTTATGATTTTCGACAGATACGAATGCTTGAGCTTACGGCGGAATTTCTTCTGTTACTTAGGTGCAGAGTTGTGAGCAGTGGTTTGAGGTTGACGGTTTGACACTTTGCGACTTTAGATGGTCACTTTGCGTCATTGAAATTGCGAAATGTCGAGTAACAGGTAGATGTAGAATTGTTTGTGGTTAGAACTAATATGCGACTAATATAGGTACCGATCGTTGTGCTTTTGTAGAATAAATACTAGAAAGGACCATCTTTGTTGGGGAACGATTAAATGTGACAAGGAGTTAAAAAAAAAACTTACGTAGAACGGAGCTGATGAGATGTCGAACAGGGAGATATTGTAGCGATATTTTACCAGATTCACACTCACTGACACACCCGGTGAATCTACCCAGCGAAGAGACAACACGCACGAGCACTACACCGCGAGTGATGACGCGCCCATCGGGGCGTGGCCTTGACTGACTGTCGACGCGACGCCAGCCGGCGCGGCGGCCAGTATCGTCGTCCCCGACGCGGGCGTTGAGCCGCCAGAGGGCGCGAGGAGCAGCCACAACAGGGGCAGTGGGTTAGCCGTAATTGGGGGCGCGTGCGGTAGGTGAAGGTCATCGTATAGAAACATGGTTAGTTGTGGAAGTTGCAACGGGATAAGAACGTAAACAGTTAATGCATAATTTTAAATATGACATGCTATATGATATCTAGGACTGCAGTTCGTTTGATGTGCATTGGTTACCGCTAATAGGATGATTTAAATTATATTTTCTATGAAAGGCTAGGGATCCCTATGACAATATTCTGGCACTCTACAAAGATAATTTGTATAGGTAACTAGTAGCCCATCAGAAGCTATCGAACGAGTTTCAAGGAGTCATATCCGTTTGAGCATTCAGTAATTTACTATGATACGGTGGATCACAACCAGACGACAGACCGGTGCGTTTTATTTGGTTCCAGATCTTCTGATCAAATCAAGAGCGATTCAAGGTCTGCTAGGATTGTATACGAGAACTGATGATTAGGTTCACGCGTGCAGCAGCAATTAGGACTTGAGATTACGATTAGCTTTGGATCAATAATGCGTTTCTGTTATTCGCGTTCTTGCGAGTTAGCGCCAATAATTACTCCACCAATATTGGCACAGGGCATTGTGAGGCACAGACGGCTTGTTTGCCCGTCTCCTATGGCGTAACGTTTACCAGCATGACCGTATGAGACACAGATGCACTTCTCATAAACACACGTCCAGACCGGAATAATAAGAGGGACACACCGTCACGTACGCAGGGCATATGCACGTTTTCCGCCAGTGGTTCCGGCTACTGTTAGATTTCCCGCTTAGGTAATACTGGGTAACGAGGCAGTGAGAGGTTTCTATGGCAGAGGGAAGGAGTAGACTGGTACAGTGCAGTCGGAGAGTAAGTTGGAGATATGCCAAAGGTAAGAAGCCGAAGGTCAGGGGTGAGTCACCCAAAGGGCGGATAAGGCAAGCTGTAGTGTCCCGAATAAGTCCTCATACTTATTTTGTAAGGGTACCTTAATCGGTACTGGACAGCCTCAGGGGAGGTAACGATGTACTCCAGG